CCTTCCCAAACGCTCTCTTCCCTTTCTTGCCAAACCAGTTGAACTGAAAGTGCCAACTGATTTTGACACGCAGTGTTTCATGACTCTTTTTGACATATGCTTCTTTGTGATACCTCCTTGCAGTGTCAGGTATGTGACCTGAAATATATGATTTTTGTTTCTAAAACACATTTCTAACGTTTCAAAAAGCATTTGACACATAATTCACAGGAGTGTAATAAGGCCATTTATTTCATGCTTTTCCAGTGTTTCACTGTGATAGATAATATTTTTGATAAAACCACTACTGAAAATTTATAATATATCATTTTCACTGTAAGCCGGACTATATCTGAATGCAGATGAAAAGAATATAACTAAATGGAATAACAGGCCCAAAAAAAAATGCTGTCATACGTAAATGTTCTTTCTTTAAGAAAAGAAAGTCGATGTCATCATTTAATCATGTTAAAAAAGTGGGTTAACAAAATTGGAGGATTTAACAGGATTATATTTCAAAATTGATGATGTGACATCATGATGTTATGACTTCATAAAGGAGAATGCGCGACGTGAGGCAGCAAATCAGTAAAAAATATTTAAAATCACGAAAAAATCATGAAATTAATATTGCATCTGGTGTTTCCTCAGTGAAATATTTTTCAATTTTACATGCAAAACAAACAGATATTCTCTATTTAAGAAATACTATATTACACTAGTTATAATATAATGTCTAACATATTACACTAGAGTAATAATATAATGTCTTTTGTGTTACAAACAAAAGCACACTAATGACAGGCCAAAAACTTTTAAAGAACAGTATGACGGACAGAAAACTAGTGTGCAAAATTTTTAGTGACATAAAAAAAGTTTAGCAAAAACACTTGTTTTCAAAAACAATAATAAATTCATTTCGTGCAAAGATAAAATTTAACATCTTTCTAACTAATGAAAATAAATTTACCCAAGAAGCCATTGAAACAACCAGGTTCTTGTAAACCTGTCTCAACCAACTCCAGTTTTTCAATGCTTGTAACTGGTAAATGAATATCATCAGGCAATTCAGTTGGTCCACCACCATCTTGACTTTCCAACTTTGACACGATACCAAATACCCGATGAACAGTGTCCAAATATTTGTGTCTGTTGTCGAGACATTTTTTTCTGATAGGGTAAAAATGCGGGATATCTCGTGCTAAAATACAAAAATATTATTTAATGAGAAACATAACTTTCAATATAAGTAAGCAAAAAAAGTAAAAAAACAAACAAAACACTGATGCTGTTTTAGTATGGATAATGGAGACCTTGCAACGCATATCTTTTCGAACTTGAATTTTCTCTGTCAAAATGTAACTTTTCATTATTTTGTTTCAACAAAATTTTAATGGCAAAGTCTTGCTTAAACTTAAGAACAAATTATTTCTTATTTATGTCAACAAGTTGCTAAGGTCCTATAGGTTTAAAAGAAATTATTACCAACCCAATTTAACGTGATCGCGAAATTGTATGACTATAAAATCAAAGCCATCTTGTCCATATATTTTTTATTTATTTTTCAAAATTTCAATAGCACTCAACAGTATATCAATTATGTTAATGATATTTTATCAAAAAGGTATAAGAAAATGCTAAATTACCCAGCGATTGTAAATATTCGAACTTTTGTCCCTTGTTGAGTTTTGCGGGCCAAATGTAAAGCGTGCCCGGATGTACGGTGCGTAGGTAACTATTTACCATTGTGCAAATTACGATAAATATCCGTTCAATGGTTAAACGCGTTAAAATTTCAGAAATTTTTTCCCGGTTTCATGGTCCTACATGCTAAAAAACGTTACCATGATAAAACTTAAATCATGTCAAACGAATATAAATCGACCGATGTCGGACCTATATCAGTGAAATATGTCAATATCGGATAGACACTCGGTCCGATATATGGTAGCCGACACATTATTCCATCATATAGCCGATATCGGCCCGATATAGGTATGTTTGCTGGGATTATTGCACTTTTTAAGTCATTATAAGACCGTCTGTGATGTGTCCTACTGGTAAAAAGTCATTCCCATCTTTACAAATCTTTGAACTTTGATATCTATAAAATATTGATTCCATTTAGGTCAATGAATTTGAATTTATAGTAATTTTTGTTACGTTAATTGTATTTTTAAAAAGAGATTAATACACGCACGGATTTATATTACATATATGTAATATAAATCGATCCGTGATACACGGCAGAGTAGGATCGAAAGGTGATAATCGGACCGCAAAGTTAATAATGGCCCCGAGAGCATTATTCACTTCAGGGCCGATTATCACTTTCTGGCCGTCTATATGACGTGTATAAAATTTGTGTCTTTAATTAACCTAAAAGTTCGAGTTTGCGTGTTCGTGCAGGGTTATAAGGTCTCTCGTGAACTTACTGTAAATTTGCATACATATAAGCTACCTTAATCTAGTAACAGTTCACTAACAACGTGCCTGCCATTCATACTTCTTAAAGATTGTTAAGCAGGGTGACTGACTGATATTTGTGATTAATGGAGGGTCCAACCACCCTTTAAATTAAAGGGGAAACAACAGCTTTTGATATGTGACCAAAGGGCCCTGAACAAAAACAACAGTTTAAGTCCTTCAAAAGGGCTTAAATTAAATTTCTACTACTTTTAACCCCCCACAAACCAAAAGCCACTAATACACTCATCTGCCTTGCTTTTATTTATTTTTTAACCTTTATCTCACTTTTAAACCTCGATCTACTCTGTTTCCTTATCCCCGGGGTAGTCAGACTATTCTCCTTAACAGTTAGGCCTACTCCCCTGACGGATAGGGTTACGGTTCTCTCACTGTTCTATCTGCATATATTCAATATTTGTTTACTGTTCATCCCAATTTTTATCCTTATAAATACTCGATAAATATTGATACTTTAAGTTGTTTAAGAATGGGTAAAATTTTGAGAAATAGAATTCCTAAAGAAAGTCCAAAACGCAAAATTTAAATTGAAGGCACTGATTGAATTAAAATACATGAAAAAGTTACACGTGTGTCAAACTTTTCTTGACAGATACATGTATAGATACAATCTGATTTTAAAATCATCTCATAATTAACGCGGTTAATTATTAAGTAGATCTAAATTTTAGTCAGATATTGGATAAACATATAGCTAGATCCATCAATTTTAAACATCTTACATGTATTTGTAATTTTCAGGAATACTTTTGTTGACTTAATATCAATAACGTTCACTGAACTAATTAACCTTCATTAAAAAATCTTTGATGATTAGAGCTTGATAAACTTTCAAAATCTGGATTCCATAAAGTAACTGTTTTCTTAATAGTCATGTACATTAATTGTACATCATAATATTTATTAGAACATAATCATTTTTTTCTAATAATAGATTTTTGTGGGAGGGGAAATGGGATAGGGGGTAGGGGAAAGAAGAACTGTCTGCATGTTTTAACATGCCAGGACAGTAAACGGGTTTTGGTGAGAACAGTCAGGAGTGGGAGCTAGATGGTGAGGGGAGGATAAATCGTCTGCCATTCGTAGGGTCATAACTAAATGGGAGATAGAGACAGATATATCTTTATTCGACTGCCGATGCGCTTTGCCTAACAACGGTGAACACGAACCGAGGGGATGGGAGACGATTGTTAAGCAGTATCACGAACATGGGTTTGAAAGGAATATGTACAGTTCGATAATATATGGGTACGAATTGTTCGTTAAAGATCCTAATGTTCAGCAAAATGTGTTTTAAATAATGCTTATAAGAAAAATTTGAAAATACAAATGGTAGTGTCTTAAAAATATAATATAAAAGAGACATTTGCATAAATGAAAATAGTTGATCATTGTCATTGCATTAATTGATGCCTTGGTGGGGCGAATAATTCGTACCTAAATGATCGGATTTTTCCGGAAGTTTCCGGATTTTATTGTACCGGATGAATTCGGGAGTAGGAGTCATATTTTTATTCATGTAAGATAAGGTATTCGCTCTTTTTTCATTAAAATATGTATCTTAACTATGATTTTATGATATGCCCGAATTTTGTGTATTTACTAACCCTTCACTAGTGTGCTATATTTTGAAATATTTTACAGTGAATGTGATTCAAGTTTCGGATATTCCTGTTTTCGGATAGGTCTAGTCATACTATAAACAAGGCCAAAATTTTGTTGTTCTTTTTCAGTTTCATCGAAATATTAATACAGTTAATTTATAAGAGAAGCTATTATATTAAAATTTGGGATTTTTGCACAGTACCTGTACATGTAAAAAAAAGACCAGAAATTCCTAGTTTTATAGTTACATAATTTGTATAGCAACAAGTAATAAAATTAAAAATCATGTAAAAGATTTTGCTTTATAGATACAATGTATGTGATGAATTTTAACCTTTTTGCAAAATGTACAACTTCATTGTCTTCAATTTCATTTATTGGCCGGGTTGCACCAGTCAATGAATCTAAGATTTTGAATTAACTACATGTAGCCCCAATTCCAGTTTTGAGTTTATTCTACTATCCTCGAGTGACCAGTTTCGACGCCCTTAAGGATTGTTTTGTTTGCGTCTACAAAAACCGTGTTATTGTATTGTAAAATAAAATGTATTAACTTTTTAAAAAATCTCTAACCTTTATGAAATGGGTAAATTTAAGCTTTTTTCCAGCTATTCCTTTTCATAAACAATCCTACTTTCACTTTATCCGGGAGCAGCCGTTTTTATTGAGAGTGCCCTAAAACGATGCCATTGATTGGCTGATTTAAATACACACTACAGGAGACTGTACACCATAATATTTTTACTTACGTTGTTCACCAATATCAAGAGCATAGACCTGCAAAGTATCAACAAGTATAAAATAGTTTATCGATTCTTTATTTCTCTCATAAATAAAACATAAATATATGCAGTAAATGCTATTGTTTTAATTTTACAGTGGTTTGGTAGGTTGCCCTAGTCTGTTTGACCTCCAAACCTGAAAAAATATAGGTTGGAAAATAGCACCTTTACTTTCTTAGTCAAACCTTCAAAAACAAAATAATACACTTGGTGGAGCAACTAATTAAATATGGCAATTCATTCCATCAAAATAAGGTAAACATGTCCAATTAATTAACATTCATTCATTGATTAATAACCATAAGAAAATCTACAACACATACAGGTTGCTTAGAGTGAAAAAATGCGCCCAAAACAACACTATTGGGTGATTTTACTGCCACGTGACCTGAGAATAAGAAAATGAGGTCAGCAGACAGGGAGGTATTTTCTCGTCCATTTTCGCAAGGAAAACAGAACATAGTAATGTGAGGGTCATTAGTGAAATCAATCAAAAATCTCTTGAATAAGGTATAACATGCTAAATCTTACCTTTGGGTGTCTTCCTCACTACATATTGTTACCTAACCAACTAAAGGAATCCCCTTTAGCTATTATAAGCGTAGTAGAATAAAGATGTAAGCGACCTTATATCAATCATGAGACAAAATATAAATGGCGTCGAAATAGGGCAACGTAAAAACGGGTCACTCAACGATATATATTTAAAGCAGCTGAGACATTAGTGGTCAATGGTAGATTTTTTTCGTAACTTCACAGCCTCATGATATGTGGTATACAAATGCAACTTAGCCTTTTAATATTATAAAACTCAGGGTTTTTTTTCTCAGCACTTGGAACATGACCCTATCCCCAAGAGTTTTTGACAATTTGAAAAAAATACCTGGCAAATAGCCAATATATTATGTACATCAAGTAAGACAAAGAAATCAGTTATTTGGTTAATAGAACTCATACATTTATATTTCACTCCTTGTAACTCGCATTCTATTCCTTGTATTTGAGAATTTTATCCTTGAAATTGGGAAGAAAACCCTACTTTTGGCATTTGGGAACATGTATCATTATGATGTATCAGTATCAATCATCAAAATGGCCAAAAATACCCTTAAATTTAATGCTAATTACTGGACGGGATATTATGACATTTCAACAATTGCTCATAGCCCAAGTAAAGTCAATAAAATCTTACTCGTAACCTGGCTAGCTTTTCGAAAAACAATATGTAATGCATGTTGTCTTATGTCATAATCGTTATGGGTCACAGTCAAATTTCAACATCAAAGTATGAAGAGCATGGAAAGGTGGATGAAAGGGGCTATTGAATCAACGCGTTATTTATAAGAACTATATATTTTGCACCTGTATATATTATCATGATATGATAAAACAAAGGGGTTCTCCATTAAATATTTTCCATAGATAACAGTTTTGTCATTGATAAGTGATAAGTTAAAATTTGTCATATTGTGAATGTGCTATTTAATCAATAATTGTGAGCCAAGTTTATAAGCATCAATTTAGCGCAACATAAATTATGATGGCAAAGAAAAAGCATATTATGTATAAAGATATCAGATTAAACGTTTGTTTAAAATTGAATCGGTTTAAAAATATTAAGTCTAGTCTATTAGTTGTATATAATATTCAAACTTATATTTAGATTTAAAACACTTACCCCTTCCACTGGAGGTTCCAGTTCCCACAGGGACTTTGAATTCTTTCATGTGAGAAATCATATAATCAAGCTAGCTTGCAGAGTGTCTGTTGGTTTGTGTCTGAAATAATGCACAGAAGGACACCTGATGTCTTCACAATTCATAATAGCTTCTAATATGAACAGAAGTATGCATATACATGTAGCTGCATAATTGTCAGAATTATCTTCTTAAAGACAAGTTTTTAAGATTTTAACCCAAAAAAGGTCTATTATTTAGCATGTTTAGTATTTAACTTAACTCTTTGTTTGACATGTACTACACTATAGGTAAACCTGATTTTGAATTTCACATCGGGTATTATTATAATATCAGGTTACAATTTTACCCGGCTTCAATTACCACTTTCCGTGTATGGGAAATAATCTTAAGTTTCCTGTTGTGGTAGACTGTATAACTATTGTGTAAAACCCATTTAAACCTGATTTCAGTTTTTGAAAATAGCTTGTTTGACAAAACAAATATTGAAATACCAGCCAGTAGGCAATGGAAAATAGTTTGTCATTTAACAGTACTTAGTGATTAGTGTCAGGTTATAGTGCAAATTTATTGATCTCAAGGTAAAATGGAATTGTTAACAGTATAGTACATGTATTTTGAAAAGGTACTGGTTTGAACTACAATTTGACTTTTATGCATGATTTTGTATTTAACTTACTTAAATTTGTAAAATTTTTGTACAAGCACACTTTTATAAGGCTAAGTTTTGTATTGTTCTCACCCAGGTACATTTGTATTTACTACTGGCATCACGCTTTCATATAAAGTTTTTGCATGCAAGTTGATATCTCCAAATCTGCTGATTCAGAAGGTAATGGGTTGAAACTTCACACACTTATTTGATTGCTGTCCTGAAGTGAAGGTGCATGCTTCAAACTTGGATTTTGACAGATTTATGGCCCTTTTTCAACTTCTGGATTATCTTGGCTCTTGTTTTACTAGGCACTGAGAATATACAAGCATGTTATCATACTGACAATTCTTGTTGATTTTAACTGTTCCTTTGATCTTATTATCTAGATCTCTTTTGTGGGCTCTTCAAAGTAACATGCCACATTTTGTTTGGTCTGTAAAGGCTTGCTGCTATTCCACTCATTGTGAAGTATGAACAAGCAGCCATGTTTCGAAATTAAAATCTAAGTACTGATGAAAGATGATCAATTTTTTGCAAGATACAATGTATTTATTTAGTTAATTACACTGTTTTGTTCTCCATATATTTTAGAGTCTTTTCTTAAGGGGGTTAGGGAAAATTAGGAGTTCTGTCGAAGTGAAGTCATAACTCATTTAAAAAAGATTGTTGATTCTACAATGGCAGGCACCCATCAGAGTTACTGTAGGACATTTGAACAGTTTAATGATTATGCTTTGAATCAATCTATGCAATATTTATTGACTTAACATTTTAAGCTTTTGTTACATTGTATAGCAACAGTGGTCTTCAATGGAAGGTGTGTAATGCAATAAATAATTGCCTTGATATTATTTAGTATCAGATGTAATAACAAACCACAGAAGAATAATGTGTGGATGTTGTTGACAAGGGTTTGATATAATTGATCAAATATACATTTGTATTAAGCAGATACTATGCTGTTCTAGAACAAAATATTATTATTTATCAATCATCATGCAAATGCTCGTACTAAATCACTTGCAAATTTGTAAACAGTTTTTTGAAGCAGTGATTGAATGAAACATTTCTATTGTTTTTATCAATATTTGATTTACTTATGGAAACTATGCCCATTGTAGACCAATCCACTTTAAAATGAGCCGCGTCATGACAAAACCAACATAATGGGTTTGCGACCAGCATGGATCCAGACCAGCCTGCGCATCCGCTCAGTCTGATCAGGATCCATGCTGTTGGTAATCAGTTGTTATAGGGTTTGTAAGCAAACAGCATGGATCCTGATCAGACTGCGCGGATGCGCAGGCTGGTCTGGATCCATGCTGGTTGCAAACCCATTATGCTGGTTTTGTCATGACGCGGCTCAAATATTGATTTTGCATGGATTTGATTCCTTTTTTGTAAATCATGGCCAATGCTATACAGGAGACAACATAGGGCAAGAACACATTGCACCAACATTATTAATTTTCTAGTTTTATAATTGACTCTGAGGCAATGCATAATTCT